CTCTAAAGAAATGCATCTCCTTCACTTCAAAGTTGTCTTTGGTTGCTTGGTTCCTTTTGTCTTTGTTCACCACTGCTTCCTTCCCAATTTACAAATCTTTTTCTTGTCTCTTCTCTGCAGTTTCCTTCCCATTCTGCTCTGTCTCTTCTGATCTTAATAGTCTATTCTGTATTCTCCTGTGGAGTATATTTCCTATTGTGTCTCTCTCCATCTGTATGTCTTTAAGGAAGTTTATTTAAGCTCTCTGGTCTTTTTCAGTTTCCTCTTTTATTTAAGGTGTGTGATGGTAACTTAAGGTTTAGGAGCATGGTGCTCTCGATTTAAAAAAAATGGCAGTGTAGAAGGGGGTAAAGTGAAAGTAAGCCCTCTTCATTCTTGCACCCCTCAGAGACAACTACTAGTTACTAGTTTTTTAAAAATCTATTTTAAAATGCCAGTTTATTTGTAGTCGCATTTAAAAAAAACATGCTAGGGATTATACTGTGTAACTATTATTCAACTTGCTTATTTAACAGGACAAAATATCTTGGATAGTTCCCTCTGTGCATATGTAATAGATCTGCATTCTTTTCAAGGCTTGAAAATTTATGAGAGATCATTTTTAAGCTTAGAATTATTTGTCATAAAACTTTCTTAAAGAGCATCCCTTCAGTATTGGCCATTGTTGTGAAGATTCCTTTTCTTTCCCATTTATATTCTGTTGCACTCAGTAATTTTACCTTATGTGTGTTGAATTAAATATAAAATAAGACATGTCGCTGCTCTTTGGCTTCATCATCTCATTAGGTTAATATAAAATTGGCCCTTTTTGTATCTTTGATATTCAGTGCTTACCCCACCCTTTCCTTATTTCAACACTAAGGTTGCATTCCTCATCCTTTCATTAAATTAATCATTAGATATATGTGAATTTTATAGCATTAAAGTAGAAGACACCTCAACAAACCAATCAAAAGAAATGTTTCAAATTGTTGTATTTTAAAATTTTACTTTTTGTCTATTTTGTTCGTATAATCACAGTTATTTCTTTTATGGTTTTTTGCTGACTTAGCTATTAAGTTTAATCTTTTTAATTTTGGGAGATTGAACTAAATTAGACAGAACAGTAATTTTAGTGTGGCTGATTTGTCTTTAACTGTTAAAGTATTTTAAAAATCACTGGCTATTTGGCTGACAGTAGCCAAAGAAATAATGTCAATGAAAATTCTTTTAAAAATGTGAAGTGCTATACACAGTTTTTAAAAAAAAGTTTAATCGACACAGTTATTGAGTATCGACTAAGAGACTGGCACTATTCTAGGGATTATACTGTGTAACTATTCTAGATGCTGAGGTTACAAAGATGAATAAAGGCAATTTCTAACTCAGTCTATTTTTATTTTTACAAACAAGCTTATTGAGATATAATTTACGTGCCATAAAATTTACTCTAAAATAATACAATTCAGTGGCTTTTAGTGTATTTACAGAATTTTTCAACCATCACCACTGTCTTAATTGTAGAAGACAAATAACAGTTTTTAATCATTTTGTCTTTCCTGATTTTTGGCTTTATCTCAAAGCTTAATTATCTTCTGATTTCCCCCAACACACACATAAGGGTGGTATTGTATGGGGTCCACTCTCATCTGTAACTATTCATCAATTAGGAAGCAGATGGTGTTAGCTTCCTTCTATTAAAACATAGTGCTAAGTGATGAGAATAGATGCAAAAGTCATAAATAGTTTAATAGGTGAGTGTCATTTGAACAAATGAAATAGATTGTTCTGGGGGAATCATTTAATATTGCACAAAGATGGTACTAGGAAAAAAGTGTTCCAATAGAATCAGTAGGTTCGTTGAAATAACAAATCCCAAGTTTAAAATCAAGCTGAGCCACACCCACCCACCACTTTCTCAAGTATATAGTTTCAGAGCCATTTTGTGTTCTTAGTTTTCGTCCAGAGATCAGGTAGGTTTTTGTTTTTGGTTTTTAAAGTGTTTGGTTTTTAAAGTGGATCTGTAGATTTTGTGAAAATACTTTCAGTTAATCTCTGGACTCCCCAAAGCTCAAAATGGTTAAACACCAACCACTGCTTAAACGGGGTTGCTGTAAACAAAGCCCACAATGAAACCCCTGTGTATTTGCTGCAGATTCCCAGGTGCCTCTCAAGTGCAGGAATAAGCTCAGAAAAGGTTTAATAGGTTTATTAAGTAATCATCCATTAAAAGGTGCATGTACTACTTGTATGTTGCATCAGGACAAGTGTCTGACACCTCACTGCACTGCACTACCCAGAAGAGAGCGAACCCTAGGATTTAGATCCCACTCAGATGTTTAGGTGGAAGAATTTTGTCAGGACAAACATAAAGGACTTACAGAACTACAAAAGGACAAATACAGAACTATGTAAAGGATGATCAGAGGACATCAGGCTGTTTTATCTTCCCTGATGTCTTAAGAAAAATATTCCTCAAACCGAAGAATGGAATGTCTTGTGGGGACTGCTGGGTAAGTTTTGTGGAGGTCCCCAGTAACCAAAAAAATCATCGAAAGTGAACACTTGATTCCCCATAGCTGCTGATGAAAAGGAGAACCTCAGTATTTCCTCAGTATAGAATGCTGCAGCCCTAGCATTTCTTAACAGCTTTCCAGCCTGATAAACTGGCACAAACTATGGCTTCTTAGTTGAATGCAGCCTCAGTGAAGGTAGTTCATATCTTGGAGAAGATCTGAATGCCGTATGGTTTTGATGGCATGTTTATTTGTGGGGAGGAAAAGGGATTGTGAAAGTAGAGATAGGAATCTCTCTGTTGTAATAGGATTTGGTCTCTGTGTTAATGGAATGAACTGGCCTTTCTTGCTGTACTTCCTTTGTCCTTGCTGAGAAGAGAGGCTGAAGTTTCCTAGAGCTATTGATGAAGCTGGCGACTGTAAGAGGAACTGTGGACTTTTGACCTTCTGGATGGTAATGGAGGGTGTTAGGGGAGTTTGGAGAGCCCACAGGTTGTTTTGGAGACTAGAAAGTTACATTACATTTTTGCTTCAAAACAGGAATCTGCAAACTAAAGCAATGACTTCTACTTTGTTAACACTTTTTAAAAAAAGATTCTATAATCCTGTGTCATTTGATATTATTTTTTCCACAGCAATACATGACCATTTTCTGTAGGAGGCCATGTTCTTTTTGTTCATCATGTGGGTTTATTGTTAGATCGGAGAAAAATATCTGCCTTATTTCACAGGCCTTGCCACACCTTTTTCTATTCTATATAGCGTACTTTCTTCATTTTTTCCCCTCTCAAGAAAAGTAAAATTTCTAAGCATTTCCTTTAACTGAAAGATTAACTTAAGAATATTTTGTTTTAACAGTTCTTAAATTGAAGTAACTGTTAGTTTAGATTTAATTATTGAAATGCATCAGTGGCCTTCTGCCCCTCCCATCTCCTTCCTTTGCCTGCCTCCCTCACCAACAAAAATATTAACACTTTTTTAACAGTAGTCTCTATTTAAAAGGAAAGCTTCAGTGTTTAGCTAATTAATTGCTAATAAAATATTTTCTTAAAAACAAATTATAAATCTTACCTATATTTCAGAATCCCTCAATTTCTCTCTCCCCACCCCTCTCTACACACACACGCACAAGGCCTGGATATTTGGTTGTTTCTCTGAATCACTTTCATAAATACTTGCTCTGGTATACTAACCAGAATTGGAATGGAATAGGGTCAGGCAAGAGATCACCCAAAGACAAATACTGAAGTTTTTGGTTTATTCATATATTTTAATGTATTTCTAAAATAACTTTAAAAGGATGGTACTCTGCGGTTGTAACTCTTAAAACTTTGGGCACAAACTTAATTGGTATTAATAATTTTTTCTTATTGATGCTTTATATGGTGCTTTTGTAGTAATATTTAGTTGGACTCTGGCACACACAACCCCTTAACCTCTGGACTTGTCCATTAGGATTTAGTTTCTATATTCATTGCTGTTTCATCACCTCTTCTCGTCCAGATGTTCTGGTAAAGTTGGCCCTTGGTTTGGATATTTTAAATTACTTCTAAGGTACATATTTACTGCCAGCTACATTTTTGGGGCATCTAGCCTTAAAGCTGTTTCTTACTTCGTTCCTTGATGTTGAGATTTTTTGATCCTCAGAATCATAATTTATCTCACTCTACATTTCTTAGAATCTGCCTCCTCCTATTACTGCTCTCAGGCACTGAGCCTCATAGAAGAGCTCCCGAAACCTCTGTAACAACTGAAGAGCAGACCAATAGTCAGGCAACATGAGATCATTTTTAATTTGCCTTAATTTATGAAATTATTAATCTTAAATTTTAACCCTAGATATTTGTGACTTTTACATCCTCCTTTCATAGTTTCAATTCAGGGCCAACTTGTCTGCTTAGAACTTCCCATTTATAACAAAAGAAATCCCCTCTAATTTCCCATAGGGCAAAAGTAGTGTGGGTTGTGATGCATATTGAGCTACTTATATGCTTGGTATCAAAGAGTGGTCATGGTAAACACTCAAAACTTCCCCAGAGGGGAACCACATTGATGCAAAGGTGCAAAATAAAGGGTGGTGCCTTAGCTTAAATTTTAGGGTATATCCTACATTGTGTAGGATTCCATCATTTTATGGGATTGTGGGCAGATTTTGTTATATTTTCTACTTAAATACTTGATTATTTTGTTGTTGTTGTTTTGTGCGTTGTTTGTTTTTTAAATGCCTCTCTCCTCCCCATTTTTAGAATGAGTGTTTGCCAGCAGGGTGGAAGAAGATAGTAGAGGCCTTGTTAAATAACTGAGATATTCTGTGTGTTTTATAAGGTTGCCATGATAGTGTAAAGAATGGAGGAAGATCCAGAAGGTCTTCTCCCAGAGCCCTCATAGCTGTCTTGACCATGTAATGCCAAGTTGCTGGAGATGGGGTGGAGCATGAAGCTCTCTTATAATGGTTTCTTGTTAATAAGCATCAACAAAGCTGTGTCAATTCCCTTGGCTTTACAGACTATTGCCCAGAAGAAAAGATGTTTGGTTTTCACAAGCCAAAGATGTACCGGAGTATAGAGGGCTGCTGTATTTGCAGAGCTAAGTCCTCCAGTTCTCGATTCACTGACAGTAAACGCTATGAAAAGGACTTCCAGAGCTGTTTTGGGTAAGATCACCTGATGTTTGTACCATTCTTAGAGTGAGAAAGATCACAGCATATGAAAATATTTCCAAACAGGGAGATTGGAGCAATGTACTGATATTGAAAATCACTTGTATTCTAATCTAGGGTATTAAAACCAGTCAAACATACTGACAGCCTACCTTTTTTCAGAATATGAGGAAATACCAAATTAATTGTGAAACTCCTTATAATTATAACCAAACAAACCTTTTTGTTGTTGACTTCAGTATGTATAAAGAGATTTTTTAAAAATTACCCTTTTCTCTTATAGTTATCCTCCAATAGTTTTCTGTCCTTTCTATTGTTATTCTAAATTGTAGAAATATATTTTAACCCAACCTGGTGAAGTTACTAACAAGACTTAATGTTCAGCTCTGAAACCTGTCAGGGTATGTAAGCATTCATTTTATAATTTTGTTCTTCATTTTTCTTTTGACAATAAACCTCTGCTTAGTAAAATGGAAATTAACTTATCAACAGATCTTTGGATAAGATACTTAATGTTGAACCATTTCCCATGTTAGAAATTAATTTCACCACTTTTTTTCTTTTTCTTTGTTCTTTTTTCTTTTTTTAGGCGAGGCAACCCTCGGTCGACCTCACAAATTACAAGGACCTTGTCAGCTTACAATCCCTTATTTTTTATTTTTTACGCCTACAGCACTGGGTCTTCCTAGTTGGTCTCCCATCCAAGTACTAACCAGGCCTGACTCTGCTTAGCTTCTGAGATTAGATGGGATAGGGCTTATTCAGGGTGGCATGGCCATAGACCCACTTTTTTTCTTATCAAAACATTTGTTGATTATTTATTGTTAATACTGGACTTTGTAGTTATTTTGAAGGTTGTCAGAAAGAGTCTCCACTGACCTTGCCTTTTTAAATTACATTTTTTTATTAATGTCTTCATTTCCAGTTGTGTACATAATATCAGTGTTTTCCTGTACATATTTATAATATAGGAAAAATGTAGTAATTGAAAGTTCTTCGGAGAGATGATTTAAAAACAGCTTGGTGACTAGTCCTATAGACTTTTTTCCCTCTTACACAAATATAATCATTTTTAAAAAATTGCAACGTCTCTCTGGTTTTGTTTGTTGTGAAACTAGAATATCATGGCATGTTATTTTAAAGGGTGGCATTTTGTTGCTTATGAAGTGTCAATACATTTTAAGAAAGATTAGTTGGACAGTATTGTTTAAAACTATGACAACTAGAATCTCCTAGGTTTTAAATTTTACTATTGTTTAGTTTTAAAAACATTATTTTAAAATGACCAAATTGTGATACATGGAATTGGTTCATTGGATCTATAAGTTAATTATATTCTTTCTGAACTATAGAAACATTGGAACCAGATCATCTAAGATGATTAGAATTAGCATATGTAAACTATAAATGTATATAATTTTTTCTAAAAGAAATGTACTTGCCTGAATTCCTTAATGTAAAGGAGACCAATAAAGGTTTGATTGTTTTTATTGTTTTCTTATCAGGTTGCATGAGACTCGTTCGGGAGACATCTGTAATGCCTGTGTCCTGCTTGTGAAAAGATGGAAGAAATTGCCAGCAGGGTCAAAAAAAAACTGGAATCATGTTAGTTCATCTTTCATCTTTCTTAATTGCACCTCTTTATATTTAAAGTAGTGTTAGTTTCCCCACTAATTTAGCAAGTAATATGTCCCAAAGATGGAAAACTATGAAAAGAATTTAAAAAACCAATAGTTGCTGCTCAGATATAATCACTTAACATTTTGTCATATTTGGAAGCAAAATAGCTTAATGTGGCATTTCCCTGAGGCTGTATCCAATATCTTCATTTCAGAGATTCACAATATACATTTCATATATTTTTAGGTTTAACCCAGAAATTTCTAGAATTAGACATGGATTCTTTTTTCAGCTTTTGACAATTATCCTAACTCATATTGAGACTAATGAGCACATACGTTTTTGAATCAGAACTGGATTTGAATCCTGCCTTTATCACCTACTAGTTGTGAACTTTGGGCAAGTTACATTTTTATATAAAGTGCAAAGATAATAGCTGTCTCATAGAGCCGTTGTTAGAACTGAATGAGATATAAAGTATAACACAGTAATCACTCAATTAGATGGGAGCTATTGTTATTCTTCGTATTTAAATTTAGTTGAGATCAAACTGGTATGTAAATGTGTTCTGTTTGCCATTTCACTTTATGTCACTAGAATTCTTCATAAACTATTTTCGATGACCAGAACAACACTGTTAAGTCTTATTTAATTCTTCTATATGCCAGCTTTCAGATTTTTGACATTTATACAGAATATTTGTTTTTAAGCAGATAGGCATTTATTCTTTACCTTTATTCTTATACTAGCCTTACAGTGTCCTTTGGTGACCAACATTATTATGATAGGTTTGTATGGGTCTGTTAGCTTATAAAAAAGTGAGTTTTCCTTTAATAGCTTATCTGGAGAAGATCTAAATTATGGTTTCAAAGGTGAAGGCAAACTTTCTACATAGAGGTAGAAATCTGCAAAGTAGTAAATGTGAATGACTGCGTGAGAAATGAGACCATATGGGGCTAGACCAACGTCCATGCTAGACTCGGAAAATATGCCATTGCCATCATGGAACTGACCTCCGGGATTAAGGATATGTAGTGAAGAGAGCTAAAAGCATAGGTCTGAACACCCTCTCCTCACCCACCCTTGCCCATTTACTAGCTTGCAAAAAAGACAAAATATATAATTTCTCTCGTTTTCCTTTACCCTAAAATTAGAGCAACAAAAATAGCCCCCTTACTGCTTTGTGGTGAAGGTAAAAGCAAAAGTATATGAAAGCTTTTTGTAAACTGTAAAACATCCTGCCGAAGTGTAGGTTGTTAGTTTTGATTTTTCGTAACCTATGTATGTCATTCTCACCATATATAAATCTGTTTAAATTTTTTTGTCCAGCGTGCTGCTGCTATTACCTACTTCAAAGAAAAAAAAAACCCACTAGATAAACTATTTATTCTTTAACTCCATGTGATGATTAAAATGAAAGTGCGTGTGGGCTCCCAAACATTCTAGTAGAAAACTAGTTCTCAAATTTGGCTCCTTCAAATAGGCATTTGTCTGAACCAAAGGAATACAGAGGTGTCATTTTTTAAATGGTATTAAATATTCAGTATTTTCTTCCAGGTGGTAGATGCAAGGGCAGGACCCAGTCTAAAGACTACATTGAAACCAAAGAAAGTGAAAACTATATCTGGAAATAGGATAAAAAGTAACCAGATCAGCAAACTGCAGAAGGAATTTAAACGTCACAGTAAGTTCGATATTGAAACGTGTATTTAAGAATAGTTGTTTTGTTTTTATTTTTGCCTGGGGGTGGCATATTGCTATTTATAGACAGGGCAGGACCCAGTCTAAAGACTACATTGAAACCAAAGAAAGTGAAAACTATATCTGGAAATAGGATAAAAAGTAACCAGATCAGCAAACTGCAGAAGGAATTTAAACGTCACAGTAAGTTCGATATTGAAACGTGTATTTAAGAATAGTTGTTTTGTTTTTATTTTTGCCTGGGGGTGGCATATTGCTATTTATAGACCTTTTTTTTTTTTTTTAATTATTATTTTTGCTTTTTTTAAAAAAAGAATGTTGGAAGGGAATGCTGACTTGGTAAATACATAATTTTTATGAAATCTTCAAACACTATGTTTGATTTTGGTGTCATAAAAGTACTTTCACTAGCTATCCACTTTTTCACATTGTGTGAGACCACTCTGACCTCTTTACTGACATCTTAATTTTTTGGAAGATAAAATTTTCAGGCTTGTTTACTTCGTATTTTATGCATTAGGATATTGAGGCAGAAAGGTTCATAAATAATTGGTGGACAATCTGAGACCAAAGCCCAGGAAAAGTAACTTTGGTAATCATAACACATATCGCAGTAAAGCTAGCCTCAGGACTTTGAGGGTTAGGGGGAAGTGTGTGTTGTGTGGGGTGATGGAATGTCAAAGGAATGACAAATTAATATCCGGTTCATAAACTCTTATAGCAAGTCATTGAGGGGAGGGCACTTGTAGTGGAATTTCTGTATTTGGGAATTTAGATTTCAGATTTTAAAAAGGAAATGCAGTTCATATACTGTTATTATGTAATATTTGTATCATGGAGGGTGGTTGTTCTGAGGCAGTACTATTGAATCAAACACATTAGTATTTCTGCAATGAAAATGTATTCACATAGGTGGAATAAATATTTACATAGTGTTTGCATAGGCAAAATAAATATAGTCGGGTTTGGCTTCCTAATTATAGGTCAGGTCAAGCCAGATATTTGTGACCACATGGATTAGGAATAAACTTTCTGTTTTCAGAGCTTTTTCACAATCATAGACCTGTATTGGACCTGTATTGGAGTTTTCAAGATTAAAAAAAAATCTAAGTTCCTGTTAGACAAATTATCAATCAATGCTTGTTTTAGAATAATGGAAAAAGACAGTTAAATTTACTGATCAGGTAGAGTGAGGAAGGAAGGATAACTATCATCTCTTGAACACTTTGTCATATCTACCAAGCACTTTACGTGATAATTATCTCAATGATTTCTCTTTTGGAGATTAGCATTGGAAACACAGAGCAGTGATTTAACCTTGACCCTAGTCTCTTAGTTAGTGGTAGAGATGAATTTGACCTTGTGTTTGTCTGACTTCAAAGCCCTGTGCTTTTTCTATGATACCATCCTGCTCTCTGGTACAGTATAACCAATATCCCAGGACTCCACAGAGTCTTTCTAGATCTGCTACTTGGTGCTCTCAAATAAGTAGATGTTACCAGTCCATAGTTATTCTGATAATATATTTAAATAGTTGAAATATTTTAAGATATTTTAGTAAAATATTTAGGTAACAACAAATAACATGTATGTTTTAATTATACATGTCCTTTTCTTAATCCGCTATCTCCAACGGGGAGAAAAAGACTAACTTTAACTCTTCTCTCCATTCTCACTGGATGCTTTAATGAACATTTGGGAAATAGTAAATTTCTTATATACCACCAGAATAATATATATATATTCTTAGCTCTTCTTTTTAATTATAGGAAAAGTGATACCTGATTGACTTGCCTTTCCTAAGAGAATATATCCAGTATAATTTTAGATTTTTGTGATAAAGCTATGTTGTGGAGGGGGGCCGAAGACTGAGCCGTGTGAGTTTTGGTGGCTCAGACTGAAACAGTTTTCTCAGGTGATTGTGAATCAGTAGCACCTGTGTGCAACATACCAAACAGTTTTGAGATATTTGAATTTTAATGCATCGGCCTCTAAATTGTTTCCTTGCCTCTGGCTATTTATTTGCTTCTGGGCATCCTGCACATACCTGATCTGTATTCCTCTTATACGTTCTTTCCAAAAGCATTGGACCTAGAGTTTGAAGATCTCGATTTGAATTACAGTTCTTGACACTTAAAAATATGTAACCCTGGTGTCACTTAACGTTTATTCAACCACAATTTCCTAATCAGAGAAATGGGGATAATCAAGTAAAAAGAGACTTTTGTAAAACAAAACAAAATGAAACAATTTCCTATATAAATGTTAGCTATTCTTTTTGTCATCTTTCTTCCTAAAATCTGCCAATGATTTCTGGTTGCTGTAGAATAAAGTTTGAAAATCCTTAGCAAGTCTTTGGAGGTCCTATTTTAGGCAAAGAATATCTGGGCTGAGTCAGTTCCCTTGTGCATAGTGTGTTCTGCTTCCACGATTTTGCTCATCATACCCACCTACTCCATGCCATCTAATTACTCCTTTGTGCCTTTCCAAATCTTACCAAATTTTTAGATTTTAAAAATTGCAGTTCTTTGAAGAATTTTCAGACCTACATTCTAGAAGAGAGTTTTTCTTACTGTGCTTGTGTATGGTTAAGTTGTATCCTAGTGTCCCAGTTATTAGATTAAACCATATGAAATTGTCATTTTTATAGGTAGAAAAAAATCAAATAACTGCAATATTAAGCACATTCTAAGACTGCTGCTGCTGTTAATTATTTGGAAACATCCCAGTAGACTTATTTCTTTAAGCCTGCTGCCATTCTTGAGGATTTTACTTGTGGGTTTTTTTGTTTTTTTTTTTTTTTTTTTTTTTGTTTTTTTTTTATGAATTTAAGCTATTCGTATATTAGAAGCGAATGAACATATTAAAAACACTACTGGTGCTTTATTTTAGATACCTAATTTTATGCTATTTAAACTTTTGTTAATACAAAAGACTTGTGAGCTCTGTTCAAAAACATTCTCTGGTCTGTTTCTTTCCATGCGGGTATGACACAGGGTTTGGTGTCTAGTAGATATTTAATAAATATTTGATTGGTTCTCTTAATCAGAAAGTTGCTCTACCCACCTGTCATAGAAGGCAGGGTATAGTCTTTAGCTAAAGGTAAGATGTGTGGCAGGCTCAACCTCTATTTGTGACATTGATCTTGCTGTGGAATAGTAGTATAATCCCTTATAGCAAAATGACTATCAACCAAAAGATTTACTTTCTGGCTTGTGAATTTATATGAAGTATTCTGAGGGCAAAAATACTAAATCGTGTTTAACTTATATGAATTACCTTTATTCCTTTGTAAATCAGAATCTGTTGTAAAGCATCATTTTTCTTTGTCTTTAGTTTATAGAAGGTTAAGTATGATATCTTGACTTTGACTTCTTTGAGTATATCCTGTTGGGGGTTTGCTCAGCTTCTTGAATCTATAGATTTATGTCTGTTGCCAAATTTGGCAAGTTTTCAGCCGTTATATTTCTTAGAGCACTTTTTCACTTCCATCCTCTTTCTCCTCTCCAGGACTGCAGAGACACAAATGTAGGTTTTTTGTTTTAGTTTTACAGGTCTCTAAAGCTCATTTCATTTAATTTCTCTGTGTTGTTTGTTCTCAGTTCACTGATTGTTTCCTGTCCTTTCTATTCTGCTGTTGAGCTCATTCGCTGAGCTTTTTATTACGTTTATTGTATTTTTTTCAGTTCAAATTTCAGTTCCACTTTGTTCTTCTTTTTTAAGTTGAGACCTCATATTCAGGAGGCTCTGTTTTCATTTGTTTCATTTGTTGAAGCATTTTTGTCATGGCTACTTTAAAATCTTTGTCAGATAATTCTAACATCTCTATCTTCTTGATGTTAACATCTACTTGCCTTTTCATTCAGTTCGAGATCTTCCAGGTACTGGATATGATGTGATCTTTTACTGAATCCTGGACATTTTAAAACTATGTTTTGAGACTCTGGATCCTGTTTAAAACCTTATTTCAACTGACTTTTTTTTTTTGACACTTCTCCAGCAGGGGATCAGGGAAGGGGCACCACCTTGTTACTGCCTGGTGGTTTTAAAAATCAAGTTCTCCACTCAGCCTTCATTGACATCTGAGGTGGGAGGAGCTCCTCATTGTTGCGGGAGGTGTGAGGGTGGGAGTTAAAGCTCCCATGTGGTGGGGTGCCCTTGTTTCTGGTGGGCCATAGTGAAAGTCTTAACTCCTCAATAGGCTTCCTTTGACTCCATCTTGGTGGAGATGTTGGGGGGCTTCATAATAATCTCATGAGATTGGAAATCTAGGCTCCCCACTTGGCGTTTGCTAGGGTGGGTGCTGCATCTATCGGCATTTCTGGGTTGGCTATTTATGAGGCAAAAAAATAAAAAATAAAAAAGACCATAAAAATTAAGGACCTCACCACCATGTATGTCCTTCTTGGGTCTCAAGCTTTCTAGCTTTTGCCGACTTCCAGAGTCTTTAGGCTTGTTTATATGTAATGTTCAGAGCTTTTCATGTGCTTGTTAACACAGGAGGAATAGAGAAGAGTATGTCTCTTACTTTCCTGGACGCGTAAGTCCTCATTTTCTTTTAGAAACATGTGAGTACATATGTCTTCAAGTATCAGTAAGTGGTAAATAGAAAATAAATTATTTTTTCTTCTTTTTACTTAGTAATCCACAGTGTTTTATGCTTAGACTTAGTTGCAATTGCATATAATGAAATTATAAATGTTTTTCTCTTTATTGCAGATTCTGATGCTCATAGTACCACCTCAAGTGCCTCCCCAGCTCAATCTCCTTGTTATAGTAACCAGTCAGATGATGGCTCAGATACAGAGATGGCTTCTGGCTCTAACAGAACGCCAGTTTTTTCCTTTTTAGATCTCACATACTGGAAAAGGTAAAAGCAATAGAAAGATATTCTCTAACCAGCAAACCTTCTTAATTACAGGCAACTGTTTTCTACTTCCTTAGCAATTAAATGGCATTTGGCAAACAGCTGTTAGGACACATGGTTAGAAATGGATTAAGCAAAAATTGATCTGAGGGTTGAGATTTTGTGTGTTTTTCCTATTAAAAATGATCTAAAATAAAAATCATGTTAGGGAACCTGAATTTCCTATAGTGGAGTAGACTTAGGTACTCATTCTGACCAGCTGTCCCACTGAGAAAAGCAAAAGGGCTAGAAATACATATTTTTAAGTTCTTAAAAATGGCATTGATAAATGGACAAGTTAAGGTATAAACTGAGGTCAGTACTAAGTGACTGGGGGAATCCCAAGTCAAAAAAAGAGATACTAGGAAAGAGAAAAATTATTCAAAGAGAAAGTGGTTAAGGATTTTCTAGTTCAGAGACTCAGGAAGACTAACAAATTAAAAGCAAGATGATAAGCAATTATCTTATGGTTGAAGAAAATTCTCCTACAGACACATTATAGTGAAAGTACAGAACATGAAAGACAAAATAGATCTTTAAGCAGTGAGAAGATACATTATTTTCAAAGTTGAGTTCTTAGCATGAAAGAAGGAAGCCAGAAAACAACAGATTAATATTTTCAGTGGTCCAGGAGATAATAACTCCGAACCTAGAATTATATATATTTAGCAGAAATATCTTTTATGAATGAGAGCATAAGGCTTATTGACTGGAAAAAAAATTGAGAGTTGGCTGCCCAGTTGTTCCTCAATAACGAAAATTCTGTAAGCAGGATGAAAGACCCCAGATCGAAATTCCGATGAGATGGTTAAATAAAGTAGCAAACATTTAGGTAAATTAAACACTGATTGCTTAAAATGACAATAGTTATGGAACTAAAAAGAATTAATGACAATAATAACATATGTCAAGGTAGTAGAAGTTAGTGTTGTAATATCTTTTGCATTGTTTTGATAACTATATTGAATAACTATAACTCGATTAACTATGTAAACACTAAAAGAATCAATAAAAATAAGGGTATAAAACCTCCAGAGAAGAAGGGAAGGGCAGAAAATTTAAAAGTATACCCAGCAAAACAAAATAATAGAAAACTTTTGTATATTTGTAAATTAAGAAACCATGGATACAAGAAGAGAGTATAATATAAATTAGAAAAACTTTATAACTAAAAATTAAAAATATTGCACGTCAAAACTTGCTATGAAGTTAATGAGGTAGAGGAAAAGTTACCACCTTTAATAATTCTTATGAAAAAAAGACTAAAACTAATGAAGTGATATGTATCCAATTTAAAGATTAATGAAGCCCAAAATAAGGAAAAATAAAAGCAAGGAAATTCTAAAGATAGAAATAGAAATAAATGGAGTAGAAAACTAATAATGCAGTGGATAGGATCAGTAAAGCTAAGGATTGGGTTTTGAAAAAGACCAGACCAAAAAAATTACTAGAGACAAAGCAGATCAAGAAAGAGATGGTAAGCATTTTAGGTTAAGAAAAGAGATTTAGCTATAGCTAAAGCAGAAATTTAAAAGACAGTAGGATATTACAAACACTGTATGCCAATAAATATTAACACTTATGTGAGATGGATACATGAATAGAAAAAGACAGTTTACAAAAACTATCTTTAAGAAAAAATAGAAAACCTGAATAGTCTCATAATAAAGAAATTAACTCAGTGGTCAAAAGTCTTCCCTCAAAAAGTAAAAAGTCTCAGGCCCAGATAGGCAAGTTCTATCAAACACTTCAGGAACAAGTGATTCTAATTTTGCTCTGGCTTTTCCAGATTATGGATAAAAAAGGGCATAGGCCCCAAGCATTCTATGAGGCTAACATAACTTTGATAACAAAACAGTATATCATGACCAGATTAGATTATTCTAGGGATGTAAGATTGGTTTAAACATTAGAAAATTAACTAATATAATTTGCCACATGGACCTTTTTTAGAGGATGGGAAAAATGCCCATCATCTTAGAGGCACATTGAAGATGTTTGATACATTTGAACATTCCTTGAAGATTTAAAAGAAAACCTTTAGCAAAACAGGAACAGAGGGGAACCACATCGATAAATAATTGCCATTTTTGAGTAAAGTCGAACCGTGAAGTATAAAGAAAAAAGGGAGTGCTAAGCCTAAAATCAAGTAGAGAAGGAGCTGGGGTGGGATTTGAGAAATGCCTACTAGGGGCCACTTCATAGGAAGTGATCCTTTTTTCTCCTTAGAGTATATGATTTGTAGATGTTTTGTTGGTTGTCAGTTTTTAGTGCCTTTTTATATTATATATATATTATCTACTCAATATTTAATTAAAGTAAAACCACCACCTGTATTAGCCTGTTTATGGTGGTGGTTTTTCTTTAAGCATTGGTGGTTTTTGGAGGAAACATTTTACAACTTTTAGTCTGCTGACTGCTGTCTCTCAGAATGCCTTCTGTCCCCTTAATGTATGATAAAATGCCAGTGTGGGATTTAAGGGACCTGGGTAACTCCCATTACCTAGCCATTTGGGGTTACTCTAGAAGCCCTTTTTGTTTGGAATGTGATGAGATTGTAGAAGTAGACCCTTTTGATCATGTTGTACTCGCTATGATGATGACTAGATTTCTTTTTCTTTTTTGTATTCCTATTTTTCTGCCTTATTAATATATTTTGTCTCTCTCCATTTTTTATTTTAGACAGAAAATATGTTGTGGAATTATCTATAAAGGCCGTTTTGGGGAAGTGCTCATTGATACCCATCTATTCAAGCCTTGCTGCAGCAACAAGAAAGCAGTTGCCGAGAAGCCGGAGGAGCAGGGGCCAGAGCCTCTGCCCATCTCCACTCAGGAGTGGTGACTGAGGTTTATGTAGAAGGGGAACAAAAAACGATTTAAATCTTAGGATAAAAAAAAGGCAACGAAACGACCTTCCTTTTTTTAAAGAGGATACCTGCTATTCTGCCAAAAGACAATTTCTAGAATAGTTTGAATGGGTTATTTTTCCTCCAGTTCCACAAGTTTCACAAACTCTGAAGCCAGTATCTAGCATACTAAAAGAAAAAAAAGACGTGTACATAATATTTAAGATGCTCAGTATTTCATAGGAAAGCTGAATGCTGCTGTAAAGTGCTCTTTAAGTCTTTTTTTTTTTTTTTAATCCCCTTTTAATGAATGAAATTAGGGGAATTTCAGGGGACAGAGATGGGATTTGTTGTATGATAAATGTATGTAGTTTTAGTCTTTCTATATTGAGAAGCAGTGGTTGGGGCATTTTTAAAGCTGGCTGGCTACACTTCTTTTCCTTCTTGATAATAAATTTGTCATAACTCAGTAACATAGACTTGCCCCTAGAGGTAGTTGTTAATAATTTTGAAATATTAAGGTCTTGCCAAGGTTCTGATGATTCAAACCTGTACTACTGAATATTAAGCAGGACAGACTAAGCTCTCTGGTGCAAATACCTTGAAGGAGTAATTTCTAAATATACAAAGAGATAACTGGACTGTTGTATATGTTGTATCCTGTGTCACCTCCCTCATATTGATATTTGATAAAGATTTTTAATTTATATGAAACTTCTAAAGCAGAATCAAAGCTCCTCTGGAGGGAAATGTCAAGTCTTTAGGATAAGCAATCTTATATGAATAGTACCAAAGCGTTGCCACATGGTAGAGAACACACTCTTAAAAACCTTAAATTATCTGAAAAATAAAATGTGCAAGCCTGTAGGATGGCGCGTGCACGCACGCACGCATACACACACACACACACACACACACACAAAACAAAAAAATAAAACAAAGGTTAATGCTTCTTGGGACACATTTCTTAGAGGGTTTGCCGAGTGTGTAAATAATTGACGTACATAATTGACTTTTGTTTGTGTTACATGACTGACTGGTGACTTCATTGAAAATCTGCACAATTCAGTTTTAGCTCTGGATTACTTCAGTTGACCTTTGTGAAGGTTTTATCTGTGTAGAGTGGTTGTTTGACTTGTTTTAACCTATTAGGGTTTTGGGTTTATTTTTTTTCACTCTATATTAAAGAAACATTCTATGAAAAGAGGTGTGTGTTAATGCTGAGTGGGTTGGTTTTGGTTTGGCTTCTTTCATTCAGGCTTTCTGAACATTGAGATATACTAGATGATAAGTCCTGAACACAGAGCCCTTCAATTCTAAAATCTATTAAAAGCCTCTTACTTGAATCCAAACCAAAGTACTCTCATTGCCTCTTTTCTAAAAGTTCAGGAGAAATATATTACCAGTTCAGACTTTTCATAACGAGGGAGGATCATTTGCCTACCTTATAATAAAATGACTCAGTGCTTATTTTTAAAGCAAGATTTTAAAAAATCGGTAGTATAAATAACAATAAGGAGTGAGCCACTTTTTATGGGCATCCTGTAGTTTTATAGTTTTTAATCTAAACTTAAAATTTTATATTCCTTTTGGAAAAAGACTACAAGCTACCATATGCACAGACTACACAGTGAGTGGGGTCGGCTCTCCCACAGCCTTTGGGGTGTATTACAAGAGTCCCAGCCATTATCATCTTCCTCCTGAGTTATTTTGAAATGGGTTTTTTTTTTTTTTTGTACATTTTGGCTGCAGTATTGGTGGTAGAATATACTATAATATGGATCATCTCTACTTCTGTATTTATTTATTTATTACTAGTCCTCAACCACAGTCTTCTTTTTCCCCTTCCACCTCTTTGCCTGTAGGATGTACTGTATGTAGTCATGCACTTTGTATTATTAATATTTTAGAAATCTACAAATCTGTTTTGTACTTTTTATACTGTTGGATACTTATAATCAAAACTTTTACTAGGTTATTGAATAAATTTAGTCTTATTAGAAAATAAGCTGTTTTGTGGCTTTGTTTGAAAGATGTTCTTAGGTAAGAATAAGTCACGTTTTGGGCCTTCACAGGTATTCAGTTTAAGCCGTTAGTATTACTACAAGTTTGAAGGAAAAAAGTGCTCTTTATGAGAAATAAAGACTGTAAAATAAAAGACGTTTTAACTGACATACAAAATAATTAACCTAGTGTATAAGATAACAATGAAGGACAAAATATCTCTTTATTTTTAAGTATAGTCGGTGTACAATATTATATTAGTTTCAGATGTACAATATAGCAATCTCCACACTAATTCTAGTAATCATCTGTCACAGTGCAAACTTATCACTATATTATTGACTATATTTCCTTTCACCTTTTCACCCATATTCCCTCCCCACCTGTTCCCACCATGAGCATCCCTTTGGTGTCTTTTTGTTTGGTTTGGTTGGTTCATTTTTGTAGATTCCATATGTAAGTGAAACCATACTGTATTTATCTTTCTGTCAGACTTATTTTACATAGCACGATACCTTCTAGGTCCATCCATGTTGTTGCAGATGGCAAGATTTCATTCTATTGCTGGGTAATATTCCATTCTGTGTGTGTATATTTTATCCATCCAGTGTTTTAATGTCTATGATGTGGTTTTATTGTCTTCTTGTCTGTGAGCATAATGGGAAGCATTACTGAGACTTTAGAGAAAACTACAAAAATTGGTTATGGAGAAGGGTAGATTTTGGCATTGGGGACAGACCTGAGTTCTCTAATTCCTGTCTCTGGCTGTTACTAGCCATTTGAGTCACTTAAGCTTTTGTGAGCCTCCATAATTCTATAAAATAATTTACAGAATTAGATACTTCATAGAATTATAAGGAGTTGAAGTAGGTGTAATCCATATCAAAGTTTTAAAAACAGATTGTTTATTACTTGGAAATGGTAGATCCTGTGGGCCAAACTTTTTATACTACTATTAGGGTTTTAAATTTGTTTTAAGATAGTCTAGGTGATTTTGCCTGCACTTAATCTGGTTTACTATGAAATTACCAAGCTAACCTAGGGCAATGGAAAGATGACAGCACCTATATTATGTATTGCTGTATAATAAATTACCACAAATTTAGTGGATTAAAAGAAATTTATCTCAGTTTTTGTCTAGGCACAGTGTAGCTGGATCCTTTGCTCATCATCTCTTTTCAGATAACTTGGTAATAATCCACTTCCAAACTTGCTCAGGTTGTTTGCAGAATTAATTTTCCTGTGGCTTTAGAATGGAGACCCCATACTACTTACTGGCTGGAAGGCCCCCCTCAGTTCCTTGCCACCTGGAGTCTCCTAACATGGCTGTTGACTGCATCAAACCAGCAGGTCTCCAGAGTTTGTCTGCAAGCGAGACTGTCTTCTCAGGTACAGCCCACACGCAAGTGGAGAGAATTACACAATGAACATCGCGAGGTGGGATGTGTAGGGATCATGAGGGACACCTTAGAGTTTTGTCTGCCACAGCATCTAATTTTTTTCCTAACTGAATCACCTTGGGCCTTTGCTGTATAATACAAGTGCTTTGTCTAGCAAGTAAAAAAAAAAGCTTCCCCATTATCAAACACCTATGGGCCAGGCACGTTTAAACATGTTTAAACAACCTTGCAGAGTAAAAAAAAAAAAAAAAAAAAAAACCTGTTCACAGGTGAGTAAGTGGAGTGGAAGGTCATATAATATATAAAATCAGCTTTCATGAACCAAAAAGCCTTTGTCCTCCAAACTGAACCCTGTCGCTGCTATAGCAGTGGGCAGTGCCATCTTACCTGCATTTAGAGATGCTTACCTGGGTCTCTTCTGAAGGCTGAAAATGACGGGCAAGTTTTACTCTTGTAAATCAGTTAATCAAATTTTGTTTCCTAACTTTCGATGTTGAAAGGACATGTATACTGTCTTTTTCTGGAGAAAATAGTCTCCAGGAGGTTTAGTGAAACAACTGAGAATTCTAAAGATAAATGAAGGTAGCCAGAACTAACCTCTTGTTCTGTAGTGAAGAATGGAAGATATCCAGGGAGCCTCTTGATTTAGCGCCCCTAGAACAGTTTCCTAATCCCCAGATTTAGCATTGTGCCCTGGCAATCATTTTGTGGGTGAAGTTCAGTGAACTGGGAAGGGAGGAGAAAGCCAAATTGGATCAAAGATAGATAATTTCACAGGCTCATGTTCTCAAAGAAAGGGATCTGAGGGTTCTAACAATTTCTCAGCTGTGGAGTTCGGTTACCCATTGTGACCATGAGAATGCTTCAGGTTTCATATATCTTGCACCCTGGTTAAAACTGCTTATTATCGTATGTTGAGTAGGGGGTCTTGGACATTCTTAGTTGCAAGCTTCAATGTAAAAGCTTAATCTTTCAGTTTAGAGAGACTGAAAAGGTTTTGGCAAAGCCTGCCTTTTGTCTCAGTTTCTGAAGGGGATGGTGGTGAATGATTTACTGTTTTAGAACTTCGATTCTCTACATTTCTATAACTTAAATTAGTTTTAACACTGTCCAGGTACTGTTTTTTTGTAAGTGCAAGGAAGAGTGGTGGTTTTATGTTTAAACATACTTAAGTCTCGAAAATGTTTAAGACCCAAACATATCATGTTACAGCAAGTCACTGGTGGTTAAAATAGGAAACTGAACAATTATGGTTTTTTTTCTTTTTTAAGGTAACAAATGTATTTATTTGCCTCCAACCACCTTTACAGTCTATCCCAGCATTGATTCTGCCCCCACCACTCCAAGGATCACTGATGACTCTCATGGAGCGGGGAATCCAAAGCCCTCATTTTACTCCTTCAGCCTCTCAACAGCACTTGATATAATTGAGAATATCTTCCTTGAAATATTCTTGGCTGATAACAGCGGTTTCCAGGTTTTGCTGCTTCAGAGGCTCATTGACCTAGGGTTCATCTTCAGCCAACTTCTAGACCATCTCCATTTCCCCCTGTCCCAAATGCCATCTGAAATATGCAGGCATCTCCCAAGTCTATCTAGAGCTTTTTATCAACCAGGGTGCTGGCAGAAGTAGATGACTTACTGAAACTGGATAATTTGAGGGAAGTTTTTAAAGGGACTTCACAGGGTATAGGGAAACCCCAAGAGAAAGTGCAGTTCTCAGGACTGGTAACATTGGGGCTAGTAATATTAGGGTGCTTTTACTAGTAGGTCTGAAGGCTTATGGGGAGGGAGTAGTTAATGGTACCAGGAGACAGGCTATGTAAAAAGGGTGGGAGATGGGGAAAAATGGCAGGAATAACTCCTGACTCTACATTGACCAACTCCATCATTACTGCCTTCACATCTCTGACCCATTTCCTCACCATCCTATATCTAGGTAACACATTTTTCAGGTTTCAGCTTAGTTACCACATGGGGAAGGCTTTCAGAACAAGCCCTGCCCTGCACCCCAACATGTGCGTGCACACACACACACACACACACACCACAATTATATGCTAAGTAGGCTAAGTAAGCAAGATCATCTCTTTACCACTATAGCTCCCCAGAGTCCAGACAGTGGTTATTATGTAAGTCAGAGCACAATATTTATTCACTGATTGATTACAATTCCATAGTTTTGTAAGTCATATTCATAGAAGTCTTGAATTTATACTAATGTCCTTGATAAGTCTTAAGAATTTAAAAAATACTAAGTTTTAAAAATTAATATACAGAAAAATAAAAGGGTGGTACAATAGTATGCTTTCTCCTAGATCACCAACTGAACGCTTTACCATATGTACTTTGTTTTGTTGAAGGTTGTGACGATATGATGCTTCATCCCTGAATATTTACACATTCATCTCCTAGGAATAAGGATATTCTACATAAAACTACAATGCCATTGCCACACCCAAGCTGATTAACAATAACTCACTAATATCTAACATAATCTGTACAAGTTAGTTTCCCCTATTGTCCCCAAATGTCTTTTAAAACTTCTACCCCTCAACCAGAACGTAGTCTAGATTAATGCATATACTTGGTTATGTCTCCCCTCTTTTAATCTAGAATAGTCACACACACACCCCTTTTCTTCCCATGACACTGAGCTTTATGAAGTATCCCAGCTGTGTAAGGTCCCATTTCTGGATTTTTTTATGTCTGTTTTCTTAGTAGATTTGGGTTACATTCTTTGGCAAGAACATAGCCTTGGCTGTGTGGTGCATCTCTTGTGTCACACTGAGAGGTATACAGCGTCAGCTTGCCCCACTGTTGGTCCTGCTAATTGACCACTTGGTTAAGATGTGACTGCCAGATCTTTCCATTTTAAAGTATGTTTTTTCCTTTTGTAAATGAATAAGCTGTGGGGTGATACTGTGAGGTTGTTTGTTTTTTTTTTCTGAGACTTTAAACATTTTATTTAAGTATTCATTGAGGGCCTATGACCAAGGCCCTACTAACTTCTGAATAGTCCCTTGACATGAGAAATATAATCCTTAACTCTTTTGAGAATCTTGGCTCACTAACGTTGTGCTTATTCTCGCCATTTAATTGCACTTGACTTTTATTGATTTCTCTGTAGTTCCCATTCAGAATTAAAGGCAGTAGGAGTTAGGTTCGGCACATGAACTTACTGGTTAATATCACCAGAGCATAGATGAATAAACAGTGGAATAGAGACAGAAGACTTGAATTTGAATCTTGGTTTTCATATTTAATGGCTTTATGATCTCTGGTAAGTTTTCTCTGAGCTCATTTCCTCCCCTATAAACTGGTGAAAATAATGGCAGAGTTGTAGTAAGAATAAAATGAGAGAATACAACCTCAAGGACCTGGCCTATGACCGGTGCACAGAGATGGGTTTGTGTCATCATTTTTTCTTTTAATCTAGCACTGAAGTCTAATTAGTACAGTAGGAATGAAAACTTTTATTATCTATGGTTATGGTGAACACAGGAAAGGTCTTAGTTCACATTAAGAGACCTATCCCCTCCTTGCCCCACCCCACCCCCCAAATCCCTAAAGCTTTATTAAGTTGCAGTATTTAAAGGAGAAA